ACATCAATATTTTACAATGTGTGGGAACAGTGGTATAACTGGATACAATGGAGATAGATTGAAGATAGATAGTTATTAAGTACAAGTAATAGATAAAATAAGAATGTAAATACGCACAATTTAAGCTTTGTAAATAATGTACGAATTATTGTCACAAGAAAAACACCACAATTAGCTGTTGTTGAGTGAAATAATTTTTTATATTTTTAATGTAATAAAAGTTTAATAAAGTGTTTATAAAAAAAAGAAAAAGAAAGTAGGTGACATAATCTTTCTCCATTTCTTCATTCCACCTCCTTTCTTATAGTTCCTTATCTCTTATTCTGCAGAAAGTTGGACCAGATCTCCCAGACTTCAACCTAGCATCCTTTACACAACATCTCCATCTATGATTTTGCTATGCACTTCAAGACACTTCAAGATGTCCCAAAGGTGCTCTTTCAAGAGGCAACTGGACTTTCTGGGTTTTTCTTTGAAGATGTTTCGCTTCTCATCCAAGAAGCTTCTTCAAGATCTGTTTTGGTCAAGTGATGTAGAAAAGGAAACTTTTTAAATCGTAAAATGAAGCACACTTACTGACAAATGATGTGTGAGTTAGTTTGTAGAAGAGTTTGTTTTTAACCTAGTTGCTGAAGAGATGGATGAGAGAACAGGATTGAAATGCAAGCGTGGGAGCAGAGATGTTTTAAACATTAACAATAGGAGTTGTTTCAAGGCCTACCTAGGACCAAGGCTTCAGCTAGTTTCATTTAGAGCTTTCTTCCAGAGTCTAACTGTGATGAAGAAGAAGGGAAGATGAAAAGGTTTTATGTTAGCACCCTAGCAGATTGAAAGGGTTAAATTCTTCCCACTGTCTAATTTTTGCTCCTGTCCCCTGCCAATTTCATGATATCTGCATATATAAATGACATATTAATTGCATATATATTTAATTAAGATACTAGTCACTTGGCCCTCAATACCGCTAGGCAGGATTATAGGCTATTTTCTTTAAAAATTGCCAGTCTAACTTATTAATTGCTAAATAGAAAATATTTCAGGGCCATTCCAGGGCAATCTTTGAAAAGTCTGAAATGCACATTTTTAAACATGTCTTTTAGTTCATTGCTTTCGTTTTCTGGAATACTTAGGATGGCATGATTATAACTTTCTCCAGGGCAGTCTTATCTAACCTAGGCTTCTGATTTTGGGAGACATTTGAAGAAACAGTTGCAATGAAGGATAACAAGAATGATCAGGGGAATAGAAAACTAGAAAAAGCAGAAGTGATTAAAATAGATGAGTTTAGTGTTGAAAAAAAAACTGTGACTGAAATATGCTGAACAGTAGGTATATCAGGCAGTTCAGAAGGTATATCATGCAGAAAAACATTTCTGTATTGGAAGAAAGAGTATGGGATAGTGGTTTTCAGATACCAAATTGTGGTTGAATGTTTGGGGGAAAAAGTTCTAATACCAAGAGGAGGGACGCAGTGGCTCAGTGGCTAAGACACTGAGCTTGTCGATCAAAAGGTCGGCAGTTCAGCGGTTCGAATCACTAGTGCCGCATAATGGGGTGAGCTCCGTTACTTGTCCCAGCTTCTGCCAACCTAGCAATATGAAAGCACATAAAAAATGCAAGTAGAAAAATAGGGACTACCTTTGATGGGAAGATAACAGCGTTCCGTGCGCCTTTGGCATTTAGTCATGCCTGCCACATGACCACAGAGACATCTTTGGATAGTGCTGGCTCTTCGACTTTGAAACGGAGATGAGCACCATCCCCTAGAGTCGGCAACGACTGGCACATATGCGCGAGGTGAACCGTTACCTTTAATAGCAAGAGAAGATTTATACTTGTTATCAATTATTTCTGACAATGGTAAGCTCCCCTTTTAGATATGCCTGGGTATTCCTTTATTAAAGATGCTTTAATGTGAATTCTTGCACCAAGCAGGTGGAATAACTTGATGGTCAAATTGGTTTTGTCCCATTGAACTTCTTTAATTTGAATTTGGTGCCCTTCAAATGTATGGGACCGCAATACCTATCCTGAAATTGGTAAAGACAGAGAAAACTGTTGTAGGTATTTGAGAGCAAATGTCCACTCAGAAGTCCCAAAGGTGCTTTTTCATGAGGCAACTGGACTTCCTTGTTTTTTCTTTTGAAGACTTTTCACTTCTCATCCAAGAAGCTGCTTCAGCTCTAAAAGGATAGTGGGGAATGGAAGGATTCTTGTCTCCTGAAAAAGCACCTTTGGGACAACCATGACCTGGATGACTGAGAATCTCTACAGATGTCCACTCAGAAGGAATAATAAGCAAAGAAAACAGGTGAAAGTATTCCAGTTTATTGCCACCTTCTATCAAACTATTGATTGATTAGATAGAGCCCAGTCTAGTTGTGTCATAATGGAAACTGGCTATTTGCACTCTTGGGAAAGCAAATCTTGTCAAGATGTTTGCCCAGAACAAACTATTTCTTAAGAAATAGTTTATGTTCAATGTAGCCAGAAAATCATGTGAAATGTAATCCAGCCAAGCACGTATTTTGAGTGCTGTTCATTTTCTCTTTTAATAGCTTTCAGATTCATAATCCTGGTTGCTTAAAGCAGTTAAAGTGGTAACTGATGAGTGACTGTTGACCTTGTTTTATAGACAGAAAAATATAGACTAAAGATCCGAACTTTTGTTCACCTAACTGGGGAATTAGATTAATTAAAATTAAAAGATCTTATTTCTGGATAATTATGCTGTGGAGCATTTCCTTACTCCAATCTCGATCTGTAGTGTAGAGGAAAATTTCTGGGTAATCTACACAGCAGTAAACTCTTGAATTAAATCTGTTTTATAGCTGGACACATATTACAATAATAGTTGTGTTAGTACTCAGAAATCACTTCCCAGCCATTGTGCTCTTCCTTTTAGCTTGTTCCTCTTCAAATAAATACAATAAATCCTTTGATCCAGGTGGCTAGGAATTCTTGAAGCTGAAAATCAATATATCTGAAGTAGAAGGTTACTCTGGATCTAATGTTGAGATTTGCCTAGAATCAAAACAAATATTACAATTTCCCATATATATGTTGACAGTAACCAATTTGAAAATTAAATAAATTCAGACGTAAATCAGGAAAGATATTTGAGTCTAATGTCTTATGTGTTCTGCTTAAATGGGAATTGCAAGATCTTTCCAACTGTTTTATAGGTATGGATTTTGATCTTTCTCTCCCACGGTTGCCAAGTAACTTACATTCTTCTTCTTTGACTTTTTTAACATACCAAAACATGTCCTTTGTCTCCCTTTTGGATTACTAGCTTATTATTTAATCACCCCTAATGCTGACAGTTACCTGACTATAGCTAGACTTATAGTATCCAACCTGTTAAATAATAAGACATAAATTGGTGGGAAAGGACACTTTCTGCCCTGTAATTGGTCCCTGGAGTTAACCACAATAGAATCCTTACTGTAGGACATCATATGGAATAAAAGAAGCCTCTTGTATTTCCAGCCTGGAGGACAAAGGGAGGCTGATAGCTTATGCAAATAACAGATAATTCTTGCAAATGAAAAGTTAACTGGCTGACAAGCATTGAAAGTAGAGGAAATACCATATTAGCAAGAGCTAAAAGGAAGAGCTAAACTTTCACAGCCTGTTTTTTCTTTCAGACTGAAGGGGTTAAATGTGAAAAATGCCAAGATAAAAGTCCAGGTGGTCATTTCAGATTTCCTGTCCACTTCCCATTTTTAAATTAGATAGTGCTTTGAAAATGATGAAACTTTACTTATAAGTGTAGTTTTTAATATAGAGTCAGTTTTGTTAAGACACCAGACTAGAAACTGGGAGACTATGAATTCTAGTCCTGCCTTATGCACAAAATCAGCTGGGTGACTTTCGCGCCAGTCACTTTCTCTTAACCCTAGAAAGGAGGCAATGGTAAACCACTTCTGAGGAATCTTGCAGGAATTTGTTTTGGTTTGATAGTGTGTCAGCTAAAATGTAGGATAAAGTTCAAATTTTATTCTACGATTTAAATATATGAAGCTATTAGATGGGAGATGGGGCTGATATACCAACTTTCCATCTTCAACTCTGTCTAGATAGAAATTGCCCTGTAAATCTAATTTTATTGAAGGATAGCCTTAGTTTCCCAACATCTGGTTTAATTTTCATGGATTTATCAGGTCTTGGTCAAATATATATGAGCTACATGGTACTGATCTCTCATTAGATTGGGAAGGCTCTTTTAACAAGCTGGTAAGTTGACACGAAGAACTGAGAAGTTGGGGTGATTCTTTTTGAAATAGCTTTTCCTTGTGTTCAGTATAAAAATAAAATTTTGTACCTTTATACATCATGGATGTAGTTATCTAAGTAGGTTTAGATATTTTTCCCTGTGGTTAGGAAAGAGAGCTCTCCTCCATGATGGACATGACTTTATAGATGACTCTCACTCAGTCAAGGACCTTGGAGTACTCATTTCTAAAGATCTAAGTGCCAGAGCCCACTGTAACAACATTGCCAAAAAGGCATTAAGAGTTGTTAACCTGATAGCTTTTTTTCTGGTAATATTATACTACTAACTAGAGCATACAAAACATTTGTTAGACCAATTTTCGAATACAGTTCATCTGTCTGGAACCCGTACTGCATATCGGATATTAATACAATTGAGAGAGTCCAGAGATATTTCACGAGAAGAGTCCTCCATTCCTCTACCCGCAACAAAATACCTTATGCCACCAGACTTGAAATTTTGGGCTTAGACAACTTAGAACTACACCGACTTAGGTCTGACCTAAGTGTAATACATAAAATTATCTACCACAATGTCCTACCTATCAATGAATACTTCAGCTTCAACCACAACAATACACAAGCACATAATAGATACAAACTTATGGTAAACCACTCCAAACTCGATTAGAGAAAATATGACTTCAGTAACAGAGTGGTCAATGCCTGGAATGCACTACCTGACTCTGTGGTTTCTTCCCCAAGCCCGCAAAACTTTGACCTTAAACTATCTACTGTTGACCTCACCCCATTCCTAAGAGGTCTGTGTAAGTGGTGTGCATAAGAGGACCAGCGTGCCTACCATCCCTGTTCTAATGTCCCCATTTATCCATTTCATATATTCATAATTATGTCTATACTTTTATCTGTTATCTTATATACGCTTGACAAATAAAATAAATAAAAATAAAATAAAAAAGCTATCTGATCTGCAAAAAGGGATCTTCATCAATGACATCTGGACTTTATCTTCCTTTTGAAAAATTCCTGAGTCCCTTCTGTCTTTTTCTTTTCTAATCATTATTTTCACAGGTTCCTGATGGGCTTCCAGAAAAATTCTGATGGACCCACAGGGCTGGTCCAGCCAGAGGAAACTGAGGGGTTTCTTCAGTAGCAGATACTGACTGGAAGGTGAGGTCATGATGTTTAAATTACGTTCCTCAAGCTAGATTTAAGTTTGCTTTACAAAAGGATAACTGCCTTGTGCAAGACGCTTAAAAGAACAACAACCAAAAATGGGGAGAAAGAAAAGGTTGTGGCTAATAATTAAGAAAACTGGGGAGAAAAGTCTGCAGATACATTGGCGATGCTTAGAGAGTAAAAAAAAAAAAAAAAGGAATTTAAGCCTTACTCGTATTTTCTAAAGAATCCATAGATGAATACTAGGTTCAAAGAGAGTCACATTATTGCTTCTTTAAAATTGTCAGTCACTGTGAACTTTGCATTGGTGTTTTTGGCAATATGGGTCAAATTTATTTATTATTCATTTTATTAATCAAATTTGTAGAGCCGCTCATCTCACCAAAAGTGATTCTAGGTGATGCACACTAATCGGTTATGAACACGTTGCAACCTGACCCACATTGGAAGTGAAGCAATCCTTTCAGCTTAGCTAGAAAAGATTATAAACAAGCTGTATAAGTGATAAACAAGCTACACACCCTTGTTTCATCCTACTATGGTTATTTAATTGGCTCATAGTCTGATAGTTATTTACTGAGAAAAAAAATAACTGCCCTTGTTTGAATAGTGCTTGATTTATGATGGCAGTTTAAATGCACTTTATGGCAGAGATTCTTACCGTTCTTTTTTCTGCCGGTTCTATGTCTCCCAAAACTGGCAGATAAGTTATTGAGTACCCTAGTCATATAAGATTTCCTGTAAAAAAATATTCAAGTCAACAGAGGAGTTTAGTGCAGAGATGGCTAACCCTTTTGTTGTCACGTGGGCCAAAAGTGCGCCCGCACATGTGCGACAGCCGCCGTCACCCATAATGCAATGTGCCTATGACCCCCTGTATGCCCTGTCCCCCCGCACCTGTGTGTGCGCCCCCCCATGGTCCCCCCCCCATGTCCCATTTTGGGTCTAGTAGGCCTCCCTCACTTATAACCCATAAAGATGTGTGTGTGCGACCCCCCCCCACATGTGCCCCGCCCAACCGCTCATGTGTGCATGACTCCCTCGTGCTCCCCCCACCCCCTGCGCATGCGCGGCAGATACCCGGAAATTAGCTGGTCGGCAGGAAGCATGCACGCATGCGTGGTGAAGCTGAGCTAGGACAATGGCTCACGTGCCCGCATAGTGGGCTCTGTGTGCCACCTGTGGCACGCATGCCATAGGTTCGCCATCATGGGTCTATTGACTTTGGAGGGAAATTAAGGTGTATCCAAATCTACCACTTAATTGTGCCATTGGTAAAGTCATCAATTTTTGTATTTGAGTGCAGGAGATGTTTTTAAAGTTGTTAAGTTAGTGAAATGGTTGTTAAGTGAATCTGACTTACAAATTGACTTTGCTTTTCAGAAGGTTGCAAAAGGTGATCACATGACCCCAGGAACTTTGCAAATGTCATAAATATGAACCAGTTGCCATGCATCTGAATTTTGATTATGTGACTTTGGAGATGCTACAACGGTGGTAAGTGCCGAAAAACAGTTATAAGTCACTATTTTCAAAGCTGCTGTAACTTTGAACGGTCACTAAGTGAATGCCGTAAGTTGAGGACAAGCTGTTCTTTGGAAGTCTTTGAATTAAAGTATTTATTTTGTTCTCTGGTTCTGAAAGAAAATGGCCCCAGTTTATTCAGAAGATTATTTGTTACGTATTTTTTCAAAATAAAGTGTTTTATTTGCAGCGTGAAAAGTTAGTGGCTCCTATACAATACCCTGAATCTGTAAGTTCGGCTTCTAGGTACAAAATTATAGACATTAACCCATGAAGTATTTAATTTGATTTGGTGGTTAACTTTTGAGTGGTTGTTGCATTTTTTTAAAGGAGAGGACTGGGGGGTAAGATGTTGAAATGTCTTTTCATGCAATGAAAAGGTGAATGTTGCTCGGCTACATTGGAAGATGACTTCTATTCAATTATTCCTTCTTTGTATATTGTTCCAAGTCAATATGTCTGCAGAGCAAACCACCCACTGTGTAGGAATACACAGCCAGCTACTTGGAAAGGTGAAAAGTTTAATTATGAGCATTTATATGTTCTAGAGGAAAGAGGCAATCTTCTGGCCCTCTCCTCCCACCCCTTTAACTAATGGAAATATAATTTTATGCTGTTTACATTGACATGTCTGTGATAAGAATAGACTTCTAACCTTGTTCCTTTTGAAGTGGAGCTACCACAGAAGAGAAAGAGAAAGTTGAGATTTTGGATGAACTGTTGAATTCCAGGGTCCTCATAGATAGATACCTCCATGATAAATGAAATGAATGTTATGTTATGGGAGAAAAGTTCAATTGCGGGTGCACATTTAACAGATTATTTATGTAGTGCCATTGATAGACATATCAGTGCAGCCAAAAAAAGCAAGGTCTCTGCTTTAAGGGCATGCAGTCCAAATATTGATAATTGGGCTAGAAGGAGTTAGAGAAGAAGGAAGCAAAGTGATAAACAAAGGGAATTGACTTTAGTGTTGCTTCATATGCTAGTGAGCTCCCATTACAAGGGAATATTTTTCCTGATTTGTCTATTTATCCATCTTTCCCACATGCACCAGGTGATCAGAGAAAAGTGTGTTGGTAAAGGTAGAAAAAGCAGGAAGTAATATTTCGTGATGGGATGGATAGGCACTGCTATTGTGAGTTTAAAACACTGGGATAATTACAACACAGAGGAGTGGAGACAGAGTAGTCTAGAATGGAGAGGGAAATGATGACTCTTTTATGACCTATGGACTTCAACTCCCAGAATTCCTGAGCCAACATGGCTGGATCAGGAATTCTGGGAGTTAAAGTCCACAAGTCATAAAGGGGCCATAGTTCCTCATAGTTTGGTCTAGAAGAGGGATTTCAAACTCTCGGCCTGCGGACCGGATATGTCACAAGCTGGCCATGCCCACGCCCAGTTTAGTGAAGGGGAAAAAGAATCCTGATACGTCACATGAGACAACGTAACAATGTGAATTTGACACCCCTGGTCTAGGTAGAACAAGAGGAACAACAACAGTGGTAAAACCTTGAGAAGGCTAGTTAACTTAAAGATAATTTGTTGGAATCCTTCCAATGATGAGGCTGCATAGGCTAATAGGTTTTCTCTTGTTTGTTTTTCTTCTCCCTGATAACCGCTCTACTAATGACAGAGCTTAGGACAGAATCATATCCTTCACTTTACTAAAAATGCTTTCCTTTGATAATTTCTCCAAGTATTAATAAGAGCCTTGATAGTACAGTGGTCTAAGCACCCTGTTATTAACACAGCTGCCTGCAATTTACTGCTGGTTCGAATCTCTCCAAGGCTCAAGGTTGACTCAGCCTTCCATCCTTTCTAAGGTAGGTGAAATGAGGACCCAGTTTGTGGGGGCAATAAGCTGACTTTGTATAAATATACAAAAGTATGAAGGCTATTGCTTAACGCATTGTAAGCCGCCCTGAATCTCCGGAGAAGGGCGGCATATAAATCAAATTAAAAAAAAAAATCAGCCAATACTGGCACCAATCCACTAGCTCAACAAGCCTAAACACCAGTTTGTTCCACAATACTGTAGTTTCCATGTGTTGACCAAGGAGGAGCCATATGCAGGATTATTCCCCAGGGTGAAATGAATGTTGTAATTGTGCAATTATTGCACTGCAATAGATATTGCTATGTATGTCGAGAATTCAAATTGGCATCAGGTAGATTGCAGGTGTTGATAGTAAATTATGGTGCTTTGATAGGCAGCTGATTGGCAGTTTTGGGCAAATGCAGCCAGCCCTTTACAACGCTGGCCTCTTTAATGAATGTATCTTTTGTCTTTAGCTAGGAAAAACAGCCTGTCATGATTATTTATTTCCTCCATGGAAACAAAAACTTGGTCCTGGGTGTCATGCCAAAAGAACATTCATGGAAAACTTTAGTAAACATACCACCCTATTCCAGGCAGGTGGTCATGGCCCATCTGAAAGCCGGACTCACAACGAGTTTGGGTAGTTATGATTTTAAAACACCTGGAGGATGCCAATTTAAGGAAGGTTGGTTTCTCTTGACTGGTGCTTAAAAGTATAAAGCAGGGTTGGCTCTATTTAAGGTATTAGAATAGCTGGATAGAATAGTCCTCAGCTGGCGATCTCTACTTATTAGTAGGTTTATGTTCAAGAAAGTTGGCTTTTACTTTTATATCCCTGTTTTTTTCTACAGAATTGCATGCAATATACTCAAGACCCTGCAAAGTTTTATCCTAATCATAACCTTATGAAAAAAGGTTATGAAGTTCTACAAAGGTGAGGCATAAATATTGATATTGGACAACCTACTGATCTGTTAGTTTAAATGATGATTTGAATGGTATTGTCCTTAGTTCTGGTCCAACCACTATGTTGGAATTCATCTGTGTCCTTTACATGATGATGCAACCTAATTACTGTTTGGGATGAGCAGAGTTTCTCCATCCCATCATTTTACAGAATGGAATTTTTGTGGTGTGGCTTTACATACTGTATATGCTGTTTAATCCCAACATTTGGGCGTATTGGTAAACTCTGCAGAAAGGAACATGCAAGAAATATGCAGCTGTAAAGTAAAATCTCCATAAAGACCACATGTGCAGTTATCTTTACCTAATCCATAAGAAATATATGAAAGATTAGTTGGTAACTATAGTATAATCACTATCCTTAGAACAAGTTAACAAGCTAATTTTAGATCTCTCTTTGCTTAATGAGACATTAGGTTAACTGTGCCAATAAATGCATTGAGGAACAAGAGTTTAGGTGTTTGGCAAGGTACAATTGCTATGTCTAACCGGCCAAATCATGCATCCTCATGGCTGTCTGTGCTTGAATGATGACAAACTAATTAGATTTAATCAGAACCAATCAATACAAAGATCCTAAATTGCAGTGACTGCTCACCTTGTTCAATGACTTTGAATGAATGTCATGAATAGGAACTAAAGGCTGGTTTAGCTTACTTCCATACTTTTAATTCATAGTACTATAGACCCAGTTATAATTTTTAATCTTAGAGTGCAGCACCATGCTATTTTACTTAGACTTTAGACAGTTATTCCTCTAAGGTTGCTTCAGCGTATAACTTTGCTTCAAGCTGCTGGATGACTAAAATAAAATCATCTCAGCTGGGGAAGTGTAAGTACTCTGGAATGTTACCTGAGCAGATGCCTTGACTCCTATCTGCACCATCCACCCAATTTGTTAAATTGCTTGAACATAGTGCCTCACTTGACTTCATTTAGGATAATTTTATAAGGGAGGGAGATGGCCCATGGAAAAAAAAAAAAGGAAAAGGCTGGTACACTTCCTGAATCAGGGAGTTACCTGGAATGCAGTGGGTTGACAATTCATAACAAATGGTAGGTAGAGGTGGGACAACTATTCATGGCCAATATTTCTGTGAGTGGCAAAGGTGGCAAGGAGCCTTTGCTGGCATGATGTTAAGACCACCTTGAAATCTACCAGGCTACAGTGTAATTAAAATATATATTTTAAAGAGCAATTATGGGGAAGTTGCGTTACCTTGGACAATGGAAATTGTAAGGAAACATTTTTTTCTGCTTTCTATAGTTTGTTGTCTGTCACCCTAGAGCCGTGATGGCGAACCTATGGCACGGGTGACACGTGGAGCCATATCAGTGGGCACGCAAGCTCAGCTCCGGCATGCATGCGTGCACCAGCCAGCTGATTTTCGGGACTTCTGGGCCCACCAGAAGTCAGGAAACACACTGTTTCTGGCCTCTGGAGGGCCTCGGGTGGGTGGAGGGTGGGGAAGGCTGTTTTTGCCCTCCCAAGGCTCCTAGAAAGGCTCTGCAGCCTGGGGAGAGCAAAAAACGGGCCTACCGTGCCTACCGTGCCATCGTGTGCCAAAAGCGGGGAGATCATGGGGGGGGGGGGGCGCATAGAATTATGGATGTGGGCACATGTGTGTGTGACCCCACCGCGCTTCCCCCGCTTTTGGCACGCGATGGCAAAAAGATTAGCCATCACTGTCCTAGAGCTCCTACTTGCTCTGTATGTCAGATACAGATTAACAGAGTTGGAAGGGACCTTATAGATGATCCCCTATAAGGAGTCCAACTCCCCACCCAAGTAGACTCTACATCATTTTTGACAGATGGCAGTCCAGTCTCTTCTTGAAAGCTTCCAGTGATGAAGCTCCCACAACTTCTGAAGGCAACTTCTGTTCCATTGTTTGATTGTTCTCACTGTCAGAAAATTTCTCCTTATTTCCAGGTTGAATCTCTCCTTGTTCAGTTTCCATCCATTATTCCTTGCTGGCCCTCAAGTGCTTTGGAAAATAGTATGCCCCCCTCTGCTCTCTGACAGCCCCTCAAATATTGGAAGATTGTTATCATGTCTCCCCTGGTCCTTCTCTTCACTAGACCAGCCATGCCCAGTTCCTGCAACTGTTCATGGCATGTTTTAGTCTCCAGTCCTCTAATCATCTTGGTTGCTCTTCACTGCACTCTTTCTAAAGTCTTAATATCTTTTTTATAGGATGGTGACCAATGTCCTCCATAGGCTATGATGAAAGTTCCCTTAAATTGTAAGTAGCAACCTCAGAGATGAGGGTTGGTTTTTTTTGCCAGAAACATAAAAACAAGGGAATAAATAATTTCTCTATCCTGCAGTACCTTCAGTTTTTATGATGATTATTTGGGAAAAAGCACAAATTGCCTTTATAAATTTAGCATTTACTTAGCTATGGATGGAGGAGTCATAACGGAACCACTGTGGACAATGTTATAAGACTGGAGAAAAATAGCACTCCAGAAGCCTGATTTATTATTTAGTATATGGCATCTATAGAGTTCATGCAATCACTGATATACAAGGCGCAGGGAACGCTGTTACCTTCCCACCAAAGGTGATCCCTATTTTTCTACTTGCATTTTTTATGTGCTTTCGAACTGCTAGGTTGGCAGAAGCTGGGACGAGTAACGGGAGCTCACCCCATTATGCGGCACTAGGGATTCGAACCGCTGAACTGCTGACCTTTCGATCGACAAGCTCAGCATCTTAGCCACTGAGTCACCACATCCCTTTAGTTTAAATAAGGCATCCGCAAATGTATATAAATATACACATATTTATTTCTAACTCCTGGTGTGCCTGGGGTTAGATCAGGGATGTCAAACTCAAGGCCTGCAGGCTGAATCCTGCTCACGGGGTGCTTAGATCTGGCTTGCAGAGCCACCATGGAAACAGTGAAGGATCAGCCCGTGGTGCTTCTGCCAGCAAAAACTGAACTCCTTTTCACTGGCAAAAGGTTGCAGCAGGCCGTCGTGCCCAAAAATGTAGCCTTGATAAGTGACATTGAGCTGACCATGCCAGGGATGAAATGCTCCCGGTTCGGACCAGATCGCGCGATCTGGTAGCAATGGTGGTGGGTGGTTCAGAGAATCGGTATCAAAAATCCCTGCCCCCACCCCCTGCCCAGCTGAGCCACGTGATCATCAGAGGCTTTTAAAAAAATTTTAAAAGCATTTTTTCTACAACCTCTTCGGCCGAAAAAATGCCTTTAAAAGTTAAAAAAAAGCCTCTGATGATCACGCAGCTCAGCTGGGATCGTCAGAGGCTTTTAAAAGCATTTTTTCTACAACCTCTTTGGCCAAAGAGGTTGTAGAAAAAATGGCTTTAAAAGTTAAAAAAAAAAAGTTGGCCATGCCAACTCAGTCACATTACCCCCCCACGAAGCTACGCCCACAGAACCAATCATAACAAATTTTACATTTCACTACTGGACCATGCCCACCTTGGCCAGCCCTCCTGGCCCCCCGAGATCAAACACAACCCTGATGCGGCCCTCAATGAAATCGAGTTTGACACCCCTGGGTTAGATCATCCCAGGTGCCTTGAAATTTCCTGAGAGGGCCATCTTGAACTTCATGTGTTATAGTTTGTTCTGGCACATCACAGTTGGATTGCGGGTTCTTGGCGATTCCTCACTTAAAAAGCTTTTTGCCTTGGTTCTGGCATGGCCTAACCTGATTCTATTCAAGTGGCTCCATATTTTTCGAGGCAATTGCATTCCTGGAAGTGGTTTTGTTGGATGTGTGTGATCCAATACAGTGTGAGCCCATCTTAATTGCCATTTTTCATCTAGATTGTAAGACTGTGGTATGTTATTCCAAACTGGTTCCATATCTTCATCTAGATTTAAGCCTGGTGAGAGGTAGAGAATCTAATATTTTATGTACAGGTAGTCTTTGACTTACAACAGTTCATTTTTAGTAACGGCACCAAAAAAAAAAACAAAAAACTTATGACTGTTTTCACGTTTACAACCATTATAGCATCTTCATGGTTAGGTGATCAAAATTCGGATATTTGGCAACTGACTCATATTTATGACAGTTGCAGTGTCCCAGGATCATATGATCACCTTTTTGCAACCCATCCGATCAGCAAAGTCAATGGGGAAACCAGATTCACTTAACTTAAAAGTGTTATTAACTTTGCAACTGCAGTGATTCACTTAACAGTTGTGGCAAGAAAGATCGTGCAATGGGGCAACACTCAGCAACAGAAATTTTGGGTTCAATTGCAGTCGTAAATTGAGGACTACCTGTATTGGAAGATCACTAGAAGTTGATGGCATGTTTAGTTTGTTCCACTCTTGAATTGTCTGTGGTCATTGACTGAGATCAGGAGAGAGACAATGTTAGAAAGAGCATTAAGCCATGAGAGCAGAGCTGTAAGAGTAGCCTGATCAGTGGGCTCTTCTCTGTCAGCCATTACCACCTGTTCTGTGGGAAGAATAACGGGCATTTCTTTGTTTTCAAAATATTTATTGCAATTGTTTATATTTATTTGAAGGCTGTTTTGAGAAGAATCTCGAAAAGAAATACATTAATAATTGTTAAGTAAAAATAAAACATCTGGTTGGAATTCTGGCAGCTAGTGTACAAATTCCACTCAGGAGTAGCATTGTTCTAAAACCAGAATTCTTTTTATTGGGACTTGCGGCAATGAATTTAGAAAAGATTTATGACAGATTGATTCTGTATATGATAATTCCAGCAAGACTATTGTATGCAGAATGATGGAAGAATGCTGCAATTCCCACAGTGAAGGAATGGATAGAAAATGGAATGGCAAAACTGACCTGTTTTGTGAAAAAACAAAAACTTTCCTAAAAGACTGGAAATCTTATATGGATGTCTAGTTGAAAAAAAATGGAAATGACATGATGATTTATAGATTTAAAGATTAGAAAAGACATGGATTAATTGAGGGCTGAAGGGATTTACATTATATCTAAGAAGAGGGATAATATGATTGTAGTTGTCTGTTGAAAAGACGATCAGAAGTTTCCTTCCTTCCTTCTTTCCTTCCTTCCTTCCTTCCTTCCCTCCCTCCCTCCCTCCTTCCCTCCCTCTTTCCTCTTTTATTCTGTGAAGTTTTTTTTGAATAAATATAAATAATAAAAAAGGAGTAGCATTGCTTTATAATGGTTGTGCTATCACACCTTTTCCTAGTTCATTGAACCTGGCATACTTAACTTGCTAGCATGACCCACCAAATCCTAAACTAACCATATGGATTGGGTTTATATCTCACACAAGATTATTCTTGCAGTTGTGTGAACATAGCTTTGGGGAGAAGAACCCTCTAAGTCATATTAGGGAGAATAGGATTTTGTAGAGAATGGGTTGACCGTGGGAAATGTGTGTGAACATGGACAACAACTACCTTGTGTATCCAAGCAGCTGATTTTTTCCCAATCATCCATGAATATGTTAGCACCCCTCCTGGTGCACTCGGTGGAGTTTGCTACATTGAGGTATTGCTGGCAGGAGCCCTTACTCCTCTCGCCCCACCGTTCAAGTACCAATTTCTGGAAGGCTCAGGCTTCTGCTCCAGTATGATTAAACTGCCGTGTTTCTCCTCTGAACTCTGGAGAAAAAGTAGCAGCCACCTTACTTTCCCTTAAATTGAGAATTAGGTCTATGGAAGAGCCCTGGGCTTTGAAAAAAAATAGTGCCAATTCTAGCCAATTATTTTTCCCCAAGAGGTTACAACGAGTTAATCTGAAGTCCATAGCAACCCAGGGGGGCCCTTTCAAGTATCCCTAGGGAGAGAGAGGTAAACTTCAGCTTGATTTCTCCAGCAGTAATTTAAGCTACTCTGAGTTCCTGCAAAAGTTGGATTCTTCCAGTAGCAGCAGTTCCAGAAGGGGGACCACTAACACCAACGTACCCTTAAATCCCACTTGATGCAGTTGCATGTATCTGAGATCAGACTCAATTAAAACTTGATCGACAGTTCTGCGTTAACTCACTTCGTTCCCCTGTCACTCCATACCATCTTAGCAGCATTTTTTATTTTTTGCTTGGCAAGGAAACTAGTAATGGAGTTTGTGCCCTCTCTCTCTCTCTCCTTTGCATTTTTAAGACATGAGAATCAGCTGGAATAGAATGCATTCATTACCATTAACAGCAGGTTTTAAAATGACCCCAAGAAAAATCCCAGACCTGACCATAATTCTAGCAACCAAACCAGCCCAGATAGAGCAGAGATAGAAAAACAAGCAAGGGAGCAAAGGACAGATTGGACTAATGTACTACTAATGAGTTTTAATTGTTAGGGAAAAATCTTAGATAATCTTTAAAATGAACCAATATGTTGGGCCACTGTTATAGTAGGGATACCGAGAGAAAGTTCAGGCAGTGTTTTTAATTTGTTTATCCGTCATGTTTAACTTGGTTAATATTAATTTTAAGATGTTGATGATATACTGTTTCAATGCATGGTTCAGTGCATTGTGGAAACAAAAGAAAATAAAGAAATTAAGAAAGTTTATAGAAGAGGAGAAGGAGATGCAACCTTATGTAGCAGCTGCAGTAGCTAGATTCTTCCAGAGAACAGAAACATTCAGAAAAAAATGGATAATTTAATGAGAAATAGCAATCCAAGTATTTCATTTAATCTACACATTCCAATATTTCAGAGGAGGGGATCAACCTATTTTCCAAAGCACCAGAAGGCAAGAAGCAATGGATGGTAACTAATCAAAGAGAGAAGCAACCTAGAACTAAGGAGACATTTCCTAACAATAAGAACAATTAACCACTGGAATGGCTTGCTTTCAGAAGTTGTGGGGGCTCCATCACTGGAGGCTTTTAAGAAGAGACTGGAGAGCCATTTGTCTGGAGTGCACCTCCTGCTTGAGCAGATGTTGGACTAGAAGACTTCCATGGTCCCTTCCAACCAGTGGTAGGATTCAAATTTTTTTTACTACTGGTTCCATGGGCGTGGTTTTGTGGGCGTGGCAAGGCTTGGTGGGCGTAGCGTGGCCGGTGTGGCAGGGGAAGGATACTGTAAAATCTCCATTCCCTTCCCACTCCAGGGGAAGGTTACTGCAAAATCCCCATTTCCTCGTGATCAGGAGGCAGAGAATAGATGGGAGTGGGGCCAGTCAGAGGTGGTATTTACCGGTTCTCCGAACTATTCAAAATTTTTGCTACCGGTTCTCCAGAACTGGTCAAAAACCTGCTGAATACCACCTCTGCTTCCAACTCTATTATTGTGTTCCATTCTGTC